TGTTTAATGATACGTTCATTTTTGATAACAAATTTTATTAGATCTGTTGGTGCTGTACAAATTAATGAGGTAAAGAATGTTAATAACAGATGTTTAGACTTGATTTTCTGCTCTAAAGATGTAGCATATAGTTTAGGCCACTCAGAAATTACCTTAGTACAAGAAGACTCTCATCATCCTGCATTGTTATTTGATGTTCAATTTCCATCTGAGAGATTTAAACCTTTTGTAGTATCTAATTCTACATCATATAATTTTAAGAGATGTAATTTTAATGAATTGTATAGTCTTATTCTTAGTACTGATTGGTCTCCGGTTTTGAAATGTAATAATGTTGATAGTGCATGTACACATTTTTATGCCATATTGAATTCTTATTTAAATCTAACTGTACCAGTTGTCTGTAAACGTAAATGTTCATTTCCTGTTTGGTTTTCTTCAAAAACTAGGCGACTCATAAGAGTTAAGAAACATTACTTAAAAATGTGGAGGTCAACCAAGTCTAATGTTTATTGTGTTAAATTTAAGAATTATTGCAAACTTGTAAAATCGAGTATTAAGACTGATCATGTTAATTATCTTGCAATGGTATCTAACTGTATTCGAGATGATCCTAAAAAACTGTGGTCGTTTATAAACAGTCTCAAGGGGCAAACGCGTATTCCAGGTTCTATGTTAAACATCAAGGGTGATGTTATTGATACTCCCCAGGATATTACCGATGCATTTATGTCGCATTTTGAGTCTGTGTATGAAAGAAAATCTGCTGTAAATTCTACATGTGAGCTGCTACCTAATTCTAATGTTAATATCTGCATAGTAAAGGAATTCAGTGATACTGAGGTGTTAGCAGCACTTTGCAATTTAAAGAACAATTGTACTGCAGGACCTGATCTAGTACCATCTTTCGTTGTAAGAGACTGTATAAATGTGCTTGTAAAGCCGCTTTTACATATATACAATTTGATGCTAAAAACAAAAATCTTTCCGGAGTGTTAGAAAATATCACGTATAACACCTGTTTTTAAATCTGGCAGGAAAAGTGAAGTAAATCACTATCGTCCGATTTCGATTATCAATAACTTTGCAAAAGCTTTTGAATCGTTGCTTTACAAACCTATTTCCTTCCATATGGTTCATCAACTGTCGTCCAAACAACACGGAGTTGTCAAAGGAAAATCTACTGTTACTAATCTTTGTTCTTTTACGGATTATGCATCACATGCCCTTGACAACCGTTTACAGGTAGATACAATTTACTGTGACTTCTCTAAGGCTTTTGATGCGATACAACATTCTTTGCTTTTACATAAGCTACATGTCTTTGGTTTGTCTGCTGATTTGATTGAGCTTGTTCGTTCCTACTTGCAGGGTAGGAAAAACTATGTTGAATATCAGTGTCAAGTCTCGAATATATGAACCTCCGACTGGAGTTCCACAGGGGTCAATGCTTGGTCCCTTGTTGTTTTGTGTTTTTATTGATGATGTTGTGCAGAGTCTTTCTTCTTCTAATTATTTACTTTATGCGGACGATTTAAAAATATATCGAACTATTGAATCGGCAATAGATTGTGAGTTACTTCAAACTGACTTTAACATGCTTTATCAGTGGTGTACTGCTAACAGTTTGGTACTAAATAAAGACAAATGTAGGGTCATGACTTTCTCAAGGAAACAGGATACCACTGTTTACCAATAGGCAATTAATCAAAAAGCATTGAAACGTTGTGACATGTTCAAAGATCTTGGTGTCATATTTGATTCCAAATTAACATTTAACAGTCATGTCGAAACGTTGTGCAAAGGGTGTTACAGTATTTTAGGCTTTCTTGCCAGAAATACACTTGATCTCAATAATCAAGCACTTGTCAGTTTCAATAATGCTTACATTCGTAGCAAATTGGAGTATTGTTCTGTTGTTTGGAATCCATGCTATAAGAAATATGCTGATATGGTTGAAAGAGTACAACGCAAATACCTAAAAATCTTATATTATAGGAGGCATAGAAGCTTCGTTGAACATGGTTATCCTTATGATTTGTTATTGAATGAGTTTTCGTATGTATCTTTAAGCAATCGTAGGATTATGCATGAAATTTATTTCTTGTAAAATTAATTAGATATGTAATTTCTGATGAGTACTTATTGGCATCAGTTAATTTACTAGTCCCAAGAATAAACAGTACGATCAGGGACACATTTTATTTATCTGCAGCGAGTACGAACCATTATGCGCAGTCACCTATATTGTCTATGTGTAGAAGTACAAATAATTTATGTTCAGATGTTGACATTTTCACCATTAATTTAGGCAGACTAAAATCGGTCACTACAAATAATTTTAGATGATTTGTTGAAGAGTTCATTATTTAGGAATCAATTTTATAATTTATATTTTATTTATGTATTTTTGGTTTATTGTGGAATACAACATTTATCCTGTAATTGTGTAGTGTAAAGCTACTGTTGGATAAATAAATATTATTATTATTATTATCATCGGCATATGCGATGATCGTTGAATTTGGGCCCATGTGCCTTCGCAATATACTATCATAAACGATGTTCCATATAAATGGTCCCATTGTCGATCTTTGGGGTACTCCGCAACTTATCCCAATCTTCTGTCCGTAATTCCCTGTTATGTGTCTGTTCGTAAAATAATAATCCACGATTATTCATTTTAAATAACCCGAACTATCCCAATGTTCCATCTCTTTTTTAATTGCGGTCCATGCCACGGTGTTAAATGCATTTTTGACGTCTAGCGCCATCACCACACATTTTTCCTTGGTTTGCCTTGAGTCGCCTATGGTCATCCCAATTAGCTGCATCTCTTTGGCCTCTATGGTAGATTTCTCTACTATGAAACCATACTGGGTACCTGACAGACCACCTTTCAGGGCTAGATGCTGTTTAATTCTTTTCGCCAATAGGCGTTCGTAGATTTTTCGCGCCACATCTAGGAGACTAATGGGTATAAAGTAACTGGACGAGTTTCCCTGCTTCTCCGGTTCGGAAAACACTTCTTCTTTACCAGACAATTGTACATGCTCAGGACCTATTGCGGGCAGGTTTGCCACACGTCTTCCCATATTTCGGCCGTCAGTCCGTCTATGCCGAGCGCCTTCCTCTTCTTCATCCCGTAGGAAGCTTCTTTCAGTTCTTCCAACTCGAAAGGTGGGGTTTCCGCGTCTATTATTTCCTCCCATCTAATGTCCTCCCCCTTGGGAAAAAGTGCTACTAGTACCTCGTTCTCGGTTCTTTTTCCAACTTCTCTATGGGGTTAGTTTTAACTGCTTTATGACAATTTCGTACCCTCTCCCCCATTGGTCTTCTTCCAGCTGATTTATTACCTGCGTCCATTTTTCTCTCTTGGATCTCAGTATATCTATTTTTAACTTTTTCCTTGTTCTCTCTTTGTAGGTACTCTTTACCCGCCATCCGAAGCTCTTCACCGTATTCCGTCTTCATCTGTTTACCTCGCGCTTCATTTTACTTTTTTTTTACTCTTTAAACATTGTTTCCGCAATTCGGTCACTTTCTCACCAATACACCGGTCGTTTTGTGGTTCTATTCTCTCTTCCTTATTTTCCCTGTTATTTCTTCTACTTTGACCTGACCTAACCTGACCTGACCTGACTTGTCTTGATTTGACTTGCCCTCTCTATTGTCCCAAATAAACAAATTTTATACATTTCCATGAATAAATAAAAACCAAAAGATACATATCCTTAAAACAGTAGTACCTAGTAGTATTTTGTGAAACAAAAATTTTTTGATTTACAACAGTTTCATAGCGGGCTATTTTGTCGGAACTGTTTTGTCGGGAGCTATTTTATCTCGTCTTGGGGCTGTTTTAGCGGGGCTATTTTATCCGGGCTTTTCAACAGGTCTATTTTGATGAGTCACGAATTTCGTGGTTTCTAAGTTAAATTGTAAAATGTAGGATTTTGATTTGTTTTCCAAAAAACTCACGCAAAATACACCAAAAGTTTCACAATAGTGTATCCGTTTTTTTAAGTCGATAGATGACAAGCGATAGACAGATGGAAATGGGGGACCTACTTTTTCATATTCTAGAAGCTAGAGAACATCGGGAAGTAAAAACAATCTCAATAGTCTTCATCGTATAGCAGAGATATTGTGTACGAATATATAATTTAATATCTTGATCTATGTGATCGCGTAGTATGAAAATACAAAAAGCGTCGAATTTTTAAAAATGTTAAAAAGCTAACCTGAATTTTATGCGTTCATCTCTGCTAAAAATTTGGATACATCATCTTTCTTCAAATATGTGGTGTGGTTTGCTTCTACGACATTAGCTTCTTTGAAACTCTATTAAAATACCAATATTGGTTAAGAAAATGCAGATTTAACACATATTTATGAATCATGAACATGATAATTACGTTGTGCTCATCCAACTCAATAAATTTAATTAAGTTACTGACGTCAGTACAAAAAATCATTAAGCCAACCGGTGTTTAGTAGGGTTCAAAGATCAAAACTAGATAGAGACTAGTTTTGATCTTCACTTTGCGAGCTTTCCGATACTTCTTAGATCACCTAATCCAAATTTATAATCTCTGTATAAATGAATAAATCATGTCCGTGTAGCGCTTCATAATACACCAGCACTGAATAAGTAATAATTTACCTAAACACAAACTGAATTTTCCCACTTACCACACAGTCAAGCTCAAGCACGCAAAATCGACTATCCTTCACAAGCAGAACAATGAATAATTTTTGGCAAAATTAAAGCCCGACCTCTAAGCCGCTGTAATTACAACAGAGCCTCTAAACGCATCATTCTAATGATGATACTATTCTCATTTCCTGCCATTAATCTCAACTTTTACCAGAAGCCCTTTTGAAAATTTACGAATTTGGTCATTAACGGCTATTATCTTTCTTCCACTAATCGGCCGCACAGTTGTGTTATAAAAAGGAGAAATATGGACCGGAGCGGGTAATGCGGTCAAACGCATGCATCCAAAAGCTAATTATTTACTAAGAAAAAATAAGTGTACAAATTAAAATATTAAGATACAACAAGTTTCCCCCTCGGGACATCCTTTACGACCACGATCTAAAAACTTGGGACACCGATCGCGACAGACTTCTTGACTCTGATAACAATTTAGCTCACTTTCAGGGACTGCAAAGATATTTTTATTTGGTGTTTTATTTAAATTTGAGTCACTTACAGTCGGTACAACAAACAGCGCCATCTTTCTTCTGCATAGGGCACTGGTTTTTGTGCGGGAGAGGCACCGAATGAGGACACTCCGACTCCAAAACGCAAGCTCCCGTGATGTTTGCACAATTTTCCTCCATATAGAAATTCGATTCTGTATGAAAACAAATTTTGATTGTGTATAAATAAATACGGTTCAAGCAAAACAATTACGAAATAAAGGTTTTACAACTTACCAATGGCAAAGGAGCCGTTTATTACTGTTAGTACGAAAGGCAAAACAAACACGAGATGCATCTTTTGTGGTTTCAGTTCACGTACAGTTACGGGAATGATGGTTCTTGAAAAATGTATAAGATATGCCGGTGGTATTCCCACTCTGGTTTTATTTTGTACGTGTGACGACCTTATCAGGTTCCACTGCGATAATTTCTTTGTTGGGTTTATGTGATTAAATATTGCTGTCGATTGAAATTGACCCCTGAGATACGAGTATAAAAAAAATAAATAAAATATTTTGTTGGATGCAGTGTACAAATTCATAAAAATGAATTTTAAATCTAAAGAAAACACGCAGCAATAACGACCGACCTTCGCATTTTAATGTTAAATTAAACGATGGTTTTTATTACGATGCAAAAAGTATTAATACGTTTTCTCATTAGTAAACATAAAAGATAAAATAAACTACCTCAGAAAACACAGTTACATTTGCAGCAATGTTATTATATTAATGCAAGTTAACTGTGCCTACGAACTTATTTTACATTCTTACGTCGCATATTGCGCACATCTGCGTTCCTGTTGCCGTGTAATGCAATCAACATGGTACGAGTTTTGGTACATACTAAGTGCATACTGACTGTCATACTGGTAACATTCACATTGTTTTAGACTAGAGACGTGCTTGCTCACATCGTCATAACTAAAGACAAGATTTTAGGCTAAAAAAAAAAAAACAAAATAGGCCCTAAAATGGGCTATAAAACGGGGGATTTAGAAAAATGGCAAAATAGACGCTTTAGACAAGTTTTATCGACATTGTGGAGTCAAAAAAAAACCCTAAAATGTTTCACTTAATTTAGAAATACACAACAAAATCATGCCTAGTAATAAATGACCCTTTTTTAAATCTTCATAATGATCGCAATAAAATATTGTCGCTGCAATCGATGAACCCCATCTTGTCAGAACAGGTTCTGGAGGCAATATACAATCCGGTAAGGCTTTCCGGAAAGCTTGAATCCTCAAATGGCCCTTAACAAATGCTTTCTTTACGGTGACATCTTCACATATTGAAAATCTGTAATTTTCCAGAGGTGCCCGAATCCAAATTTTATATACCTACTCTTAAATGAAGTAAAATTTCGGCTGTTCAAGTGCCAGTTTAAATTTTTCCCGTACTGGTTCTGCAGGACTTCTTCTCAAATTACTTCAAAAATAAACTACAAGGGATCCCCGAGATTCTTTCAAAATTTTTCAACACTAGAATAAGAAATTCCCAAGAATACTTGGGAATTCCTTACTACTTCAAAAACAAAACAAAAGGGTGCCAGAGATTCTTTCAAAATACTTCAAAAACAAGATCCACAAAAGGTCCGCGAGATTATTTTAAACTACGTCAAAAATAAAACTCAAGGGCTCCCCGACATCATTTCAAATTATTTCAAGGGCAAGACAGAAGTGGCTCCCATGATTCTATAAATTGCTTAAAAAAACAATACACAAAAGATCACCGAGATTTTTTCAAATTACTTCAAAGACAGGACAAGAATTTCTCTTCATTTTCTTTTATTAACTGATACGGTAATTATTATCATTTTACGATCAATTTTATCAAAAAAATAAATATATTTACAGGCCGGAGGCCCAGTTACATTATATTGCATGACAAAATTACTTTCAGGCATTTCATCTCATTTTTTACAATTTAAATCTAGAATTTTAAAACTTCATTTAGTTTAAACATTTATTTTATATAGAGTGGAAATATTTTTCGAAGAACACCCTAGTAAACCGACTTAGTGGACATAGAGTCTGTCCACTTGTGAATTTAGGGGGAGAAAACTACGGCGTAATTCCTACTCTTTTGGCAAAGTTGTTTAAAATATACAAAGAATTATGGGATATAAATCTCGACAAGTTAATTCGAAAAACACAGCCTGTTGAGAGACTAGATTTTCGAAATCTTCGTTTTCAAAACAAAATTCTCTTAAATCCCAGAAATTGCCATATTTGTTTTCATCTCGGCGATTTTGGAAAAATGGTTAGAATTTTTGAAGAAATGAAGTCGAAAATAAATTTTTTAAGTCGGACTCCATAAGTACCTTTCTTTAGGTAATTTTCGAAAGTGTTTTGAAAAAGGTCAAAATTTTCAAAAGCGGTGTGTAGGTAAGCGAAGAAAAATGTTGCTTCTCCGGTGGAAATCGAACCAGACGTTTACCGCTTGCCGGGCAGGTGCCCTTACCACTAAACTACGGACCAACATGTTATTGTGGGACCACAGGTGTATTGAAAATTTGAGCTTTTCGCAAACTTCTCTAAATATACACAAAAAAAATCTGGGATATAAATCTCGACAAGTTAATTCGAAAAATAGCCTATTGATGTGTCCATACTAAGATTTTCGAAATTTTCGTTTCCAAAATTAGATTATCAAAAGATCGAAAAATTCACCATATTTTGTTTTGGTGATTTTGAAGAAGTGCCTTGAATTATAATTTCACTGACTACTTCTTCGTAGAGCAGTGACCAATTCATTAGAGTATTTCATCATACACGGAGGCTAGAAATTAAGTCTTACCTCATGAGTTCAACAACAGTTAAGATTAAATCAAAGAACCTCCGACGTACTGATTTTTTTCGAACCCTGAAAACGGTTTTTGTTGTTCTAAAAAATATCTTTACACAAAAGTTGTTCGTTGTCAGAAGTTTTCCATTACATACAATGATAATGACAACATTTAAGTGGGATTTTAGACATGTTTTAAGTTTCTTGTTGTCGAAATAAGTGCACACATAGTAAAAAAATAAAGGCAAAATGTAGCCCCGCCCACCCGCCCTATCTCAATTGTGATGATCTTTTTTATTCGTCGTAAACCAAGAAGGCGGAGCTTAACTGCAAAATCCTTATTTCTCTACGAGAAATTAAAAACATGTTTTTGAGTATCGTGTTGTTCAAAGAATGCTATGTATATTAAGAAAAAAATAAAGCCAAAGATTAGGCCCCACCCATACCCGCCCCTATCTCAATTCTCAATTGTGATGAATTTTCTATTCGTTGTCACATCGAGGGGACGGGCTTAATTGCGAGATCCATATTTATCTACAAAAATTTACCATTTGAAACATGTTTTAAGTTTCTTGTCCTGAAAAGATGACTACGTATATTAAGAAAAAAGGCAAAATATAAGCACCGCCCACCCGCCCTATTGTGATGATTTTTTTAAATCGTCGAGAGCCAAAGGAGCTGGACTTGGGGAAGGCATAATGGGCCCAAAGAGGAGGCCTAAGTGCTGGTACAGTCAGCCCCCATAAATTAAGAATCCAGAATCCAGAGCCAAAGGAGCGGAATTTCATTAAAAATCCTCATTATTTCTCTACAAGAAATTACCATGTAGGACATGTTTTTCAGTATCGTGTTTTTCAAAGAATACTATGTACATATATTAAGAAAAAATTAATGCCAAAGATTAATCCCCACCCATACCTGCCCTGATCTAAAGAGTAATGAAGTTTTCATCCGTTGGTAGACCTAGGGGGGGAGCCTAATTCCAAATCCATATTTCCTTATAAAAATTTACCATTTTAAACATGTTTCAAGTTTCTAAGAATAAAAAAATCATCACAATTAAGAGGGCGTGGGTGGGCGGGGTTTATATTTTGCCTTTTTTGCTGAAAGTACATAGTATTTTTTGAACAACGCAAAAACATGTTTTTAATTTCTTGTAAAGAAATAATTATTTTGCAGTTAAGCTCCGCCCCCTTGGTTCACAGCGAATAAAAAAAATCGTCACAATTGAGACAGGGCGGCTAAATTTTGCGTTTTTGTTTTAATATATGTAAACTTCTTTTCACAACATGAAACTTAAAACATGTTTCAAATGGAAAATTTGTATAAGGAAATATAGATTTTCCAATTAGGCTCCGCCCCATAATTTCAATATTTCCTTGCAAAAATGTACCATTTTGACCATGTTCTAAGTCTCTTGTTGTGAAAAGATGGCTATCTATATTAAGAAAAAAAAGGGCAAAATATAAGCCCCACCCACCCGCCCTATCTCAATTCTGATGATTTTTTTTATTCATCGTAAGCTGAGGGCGGAGCTTAATTGTAAAATCATTATTTTTCTACGAGAAATTACGGTGTGAAATATGTTCTTAAGTAAGTAATCGTATTATACAAAGAAAATTTACCTATTAATCAAAAAAGAAAACCAAAAGAGAAGCCCCACCCATCCATCTCCATCTCAACCGTTATCAATTTTTCATTCATGTTAAGACCGAGGGGCGGAGCATAGATGAAAAATCCATATATTTTCGTCTACAAATTTACCATTTTAAACATTTTTTAAGTTTTTTGTTGTAAAAAGATGATTAAGAAAAAAAGACAAAATGTAAGCCTCGACCTATCTCAATGATGATGATATTTTTATTCGTCGTGGGCGGAGCTTAATTGTAAAATCCTTATTTCTCTACAAGAAATAAACATGTTTTTGAGTATCGCGTAGTATATTAAGGAACTAACAAGCCAAAAATTAAGCCCCACCCATATTCATCCCAACTTTAGGAGATTTTCCTTTAAGCTGGCAGCACTGCACACTACCACAATTTGATTGGTTGAAAATCCAACGTCAGCAGCAACGTAACGGTGAAAGTTAAAAGTTGGTCATTTCGAACGTTACCCCAACGCAGTTCGCCTTTTTCTACTTGAAAAACATTTTTGTTTTTCGTCATCCCCTTAACTTGTCTTTTAAAGATTTTGGGCATTTTTAAAAACGGCACAAAATACTAGATGATGAAGAATTTTTAAAACCCTTTTACAATTTTGAACTTCACTTTACAAACACCAAGAGGAACTAATTGATACAGGAAGGGAACTCGAAAAGGAAGTTGTAGGAGGGCTTGGTGTATTTAACACATCAAAGTTGTTCTTAGAAAAGCAAGAGACAACTTGCGTCGGGATTTGTAAATGGGTATTTTAATTATTTTAAAATCTACCGACGTACTTAGCTGTGCAATAAAATTTGTTCTTTGATGGTTATTTAGGTACGCAAGAAATAGATTTGGATTATTGAATTTTTGGCATTTTGCTAATGGAATTCCCCCGACCTTTCCTCCCAAAATTCAGGTTGGATTATTTTTTTTATAGTACCGGAAATATATACATATATAA